TTCAAAGAGAAGCTTGAGAAGACGAAGCCAATTACTGTAATGAAATGCACAGAGACTTGGAGTTAGAAATCTAGAAGGGAAGAACACACTCGGCATTTTCTCAAGTGGTGGGTCACTGCAATGAGAAGGTGTGATAGTTGAAGGTATGTGTCAGCTTGGCTGGACCACAATTCTGTGTGGTTTAAGCAATTGTGATGTGGGTTGTTCCAATGATGGAATCAGATATATATGCTTTGAGCAGCCAGTCCATTGAAACGGAGTTTCCCTAGGGGTGTGGCCTGCTTCCAGTATATTTATGGACATCCTGGGAAAGACACTCTTCTGTGAATTGGGATTCTGTTGCGTTGCCTACAGCTGTCCGTGAACGAATAATCCACCATTTGGCCTGAAGATCTTGGATTTGTCATTTGTTGCAGTCAACAGCCAGTATACTGCCTGCCAACCTTGAGCTTCTCAGCCCCTGCAACTGCGTGAGTTGGGAAAAGCCTCCAGTTTGACGTTTGATCCAATAACTTGGGACTTGCCAGCTTCTATACATATGTGAGCCATTTTCCTAAGATAAATTTCTCTCTCTCTCTCTCTCTCTCTCTATAAGCTTTACTGGTTTTGCTTCTCTAGAGAACCCAATCTAACACAGTTCCTTATGAGGAAATTAAGTGTTCTGGAATTCCTGTTCTTCTCAATGTTACCCATAATTTGTTATGATCCACACAATCAAATGCCTTTGTATAGTCAATAAAACGTAAGTAATCATCTTTCTGGTATTCTTTCTTTGAGCCAAGATCTATCTGACATCAGCAATGATATCCCTCATTCCGTGTCCTCTTCTGAATCCAGCTTGCATTTCTGGAAGTTCTCTGTCAATATATTGCTGTGACCATTTTTGAATTATCTTCAGTAAGATTTTACTTGTGTGTGCAGTATTAATGATATTGTTTGATAATTTCCACATTCTGTGGGATCACCTTTCTTTGGATTGGGTATAAATATGGATCTCTTCCAGTCAGTTGACCAGGTAGCTGTCTTTCAGATCTTTTGGGATAACCGAGTGAGTGCCTCCAGTCCATCCATTTGTTGAAACATCTCAATGGGTATTCGTCAATTCCTGGTGCCTTGTTCTTTGCCAGTTCCTTCAGTGTAGCTTCAACTTCTTCCTTCAGTATCATTGGTTCTTGATCATATGCCACCTCTTGAAATGGATAAAGATCAACCAGGTCCTTTTGGCGCATGACTCTGTGTATTCCTTACATCTTCTTTTGATGCTTCCTGCATCATGAAATATTTTGTCCATAGAATCTTTCAGTATTGCAACACCAGGCTTAATTTTTTTCCTCAGTTCTTTCAGCTTGAGAAATGCTGAGCGTGTTCTTCCTTTTGGTTTTCTAAGTCTAGGTCTTTGCACATTTCATTATAGTAATTGGCTTTGTCTGGTCGAGCTGCCCTTTGAAATCTGTCAGCTCTTTGATCTTGTCATTTCTTCCATTTGCTTTAACTACTCTCTGCTCAAGGGCAATTTTCAGAGTCTCTTCTGACATCCATTTTGTTTTCTTCTTCCTTTCTCATCTTTCTAATGACCTTTTGCTTTCTTCATGGATGATGCTCTTGATGTCATCCCATAATTCTTCTGGTTTTTTTGTCATTGGTGTTCAAATCTATTTTTTAGATGGTCTCTAAATTCAGGAAGGATATATTCAAAGATATTTTGGCTCTCGTGAACTTGTTTTAATTGTCTTTAACTTCAAGTTAAATTTTCATATGAGCAGTTGATGGTCTTTTCCATCATCAGCTCCTGGCCTTGTTTTGGCTAAAGATGTTGAGCTTTTCTGTCACCTCTTGCCCCAGATGTAGTCAGTCTGATTCCTGTGTACTCCATCTGGTGATGTCCATGTGTATAGTCGCCATTTGTGTTGCTGGAAAAAGATATTTGCAATGAGTAAGTCATTGATCTTGCAAAATTCTATCCTGCGGTCTCCAGCGTTATTTCTGTCAGCAAGGCCAAATTTTCCAACTACTGGTAATTCTTCTTTGTTTCCAACTTTTGCATTCCAGTCATCCGTGATAATTAACATATCTTGATTGTATGTTCAGTCAATTTCAGACTACAGAAATTGATAAAAATCTTCAATTTCTTTGTCTTTGACTTTGGTGGTTGGTGCATAAATTTGAATAATAGTAGTATTAACTGGTCTTCCTTGTAGGCGTATGGATATTATCCTATCACTGACAGCATTGTACTTCAAGACAGATCTTGAAGCATCCTTTGTGATGATGAATGTCACACCATTCCTCTTCAAACTTTCATTCCTGGGATAGTAGATCATATGGTTATCTGATTCAAAATGACCAAAACTGGTCCATTTCAGCTCACTAATGCCTAGGATATCAATCGTCATGTATTTCATTTCATTTTTGACAACTTCCAATTTTCCTAGATTCATACTTCATACATTCCATGTTCCGATTGTTAGTGGACGTTTGCATCTGTTTCTCCTTAAAGTGAGTCATGCCACATCAGCAAATGGAGGTCCTGAACGCTTTACTTTATCTTTATCATTAAGGTTGGTTCTACTCTGATGATGCAGCTCTTTCACACTTGTATTTTGATGCCTTCCAACCTAAGAGGTGGTCTTCCTGTACTGTATTGGACAGTGTTTCAGGACTATTCATAAAATTGCCCAGTAATGTATCAGTGTTTCTCTGCTATTCATAAGGTTTTCCTTGGCCAATTCTTTGAGAAGTGGATGGCCTTTTCCTTCCTCCTAGTCTTTCTCAGTCTGTAAGCTGCATTGAAACCTGTGCACCATGTTCAACCCTGTTGGCATTTGAGACATTAGTGGCACATCCTCAAGCCTCACAGCAATATGCCACCACAGTATGACAAACTGACAGACAAGTTTGTCTTCCTTTGCTTTTTGAAACCTCTCTGCCCTCCCTTTACCAGGATCTTGTGGCTCTATTATCCTTGCCCCCCCCCCCCCATCTCTTGGGTGTCTCCCTTCCCTTACCTGGATCCCTTGGCTCTATCTCAGCCCTGGCTCCTTCCCCGTCTCCTGTGTAGGGGTGCGTGGCCGGTCTGCTTGCCCCTACCTGGGTTCCTGTGGCTCTGTCTTGGCTCCGGCTCTTCCCCCACCTCCTGCATCTGGGTGCGTGGCCTGTCTGCTTGGCCTTACCTGGGTTCCTGTGGCTCTGTCTCAGCCCTGGCTCCTCCCACGCCTCCCGCGTTTGGGTGTCTGGCATCACCACTGGACCTATAAGCAGCATCACGATAAATGGAGAAAAGATTAAAGTTGTCAGAGACTTCACATTGCCTGGTTCTACAATCAATGCCAACAGAAGCAGCAGTCAGGACATCAGATGACATATAGCATTGGGCAAATTGGCTGCAAAGGACCTCTTTCAAGTGCTGAAGAGCAAAGATATCTCCTTGAGGACTAAGGTGCACCTGATACAAGCCATGGTATTTTCAGTCGTCTCATATGCATGTGAGAGCTGGACAGTGAATAAGGAAGACCGAAGAAGAGTTGATGCTTTTGAGTTGTGGTGCTGGCGAAGAATACTGAAAGTTCCATGGACTGCTAAAAAAACTACCAGATCTGTGCTGGAGGAAGTGCAGCTGAAATGCCCTTTGGAAGAGAGAATGGCCAGACTTCATCTCACCTACTTTGGTCATGTTTTCAGAAGGCGCCATTCCCTGGAGAAGGATCTCATGCTTGGTAAAGTGGAGGATCAATGAAGAAGGGGAAGGCCCTCAGAGATGGATTGACACAGTGGTGCAGTGATGGGGTCAGGTATAGCAAGGATCGTGAGACTGGCACAGGACCAGGCAGTGTTTCGTTCTGCTGTGCATAGGGTCACTATGAGTCGGAGATGACTTGACGGCACCTAACAACAACACCACCACCACACTCTTCACACACACAGTAACCTGAGTGCCTATATTTCTATTTTCTTGTTTAGGAATGTGTCACTTCTCTTTATTAGGGTATAGATTCAAGGGTGAGCTCTGTAATTTGTAACTTTTGTGTATTTTTCTACACTGATGAATATGGTAATATATAAAACTATAACAGTTCTTGTAATCAGTTGTTTTGTTGATAGGTTTTTGCTGTTAAGTTTCACTGGTTTTACTCTATACTGCTTTAGATATTACTTATTTGATTTGTTGGGCTCTATGTGAAAAGGGTAACTCCATTGCCAAAACAGCTGTAAACTAACACGTAGAACAAAGGAATAAAGAAATGGACTTCACAGGTATCATTTGCTCAGCTGGGTTCTTTAAATACATCCCCTCCCCATGGCTTTGTTAAAGCATTGTGTTAGTGGGTACTTTAAAGGATTTCTTTGTTGCATTTCTCTAACATCCTAGTTCACTGAAAATGCTTATCCCACCAAGGAGAAGACCTACCTATCAGTTACTATCAGGAATAGGTTAGAAGATGCATAGATACAAACAACATCATGATATTTATGACTAATGATTAGAAAAACACATTGGAGTTACTATTGGGGAAAACATTTTGATGGCTTTCAGATTTTTTGTTCCTTTAAAGGCATTGAAAAGACCAGGACATCTATAACAATAAATCTTGTGGAGCAAAGGAATGTTGAGGGCTTGGTAAGGAAGAAGAGACACCTTTCATTTGTGAGATTTGTGAGGACATATTCTTTCCTTAGGAGCTCTGGTGGCATAGGGCCTGAGGCATTCAACTGCTAACCAGATGGCTGGTGGTTCAAATCTTCCTTGAAAGGAAGATGGGACGATCTACTTCTGTAGTGATACCACCTCAGAAACCCAAGAAGGGGTCGCTATGAGTTGGTTCTGACTTGATGGCAGTGAGTGGTTTTTGGTTTGTATTCTTTCCTTGGAAGTCTTATTCTGCGTTATTCTGTAAATTCCTTTGGAAATGAGCATCGTGCTGATGGTATTAGGGAAGTAAATTAGAGTAGTGGGAAGGGAATTTTAGTTTTCTGTTTGCTAATATATTTCTTTTCAATTCCAGTCTATTATTCTCCCAGTGCACAATGCTGAACGCTGGTTGGATGAGTGTTTGAAGTCTGTTTTACAGCAGGACTTTGAAGGAACCATGGAGCTCTCAGTCTTCAATGATGCCAGTCAGGTATTTATGGACTTCCTGTTGGGTGGTTTAACCTTGTGTAATTTAGGTTAGAGTGTTGTGAAGTGAACTTCCTGATCTGTCAATATCACTGTGCTTTTAGGACAAGTCTATGACTATAATTGAAAAATGGAAAGTGAAGTTAGAAGATTCTGGTATCCTTGTGGTCATTGGAGGTCATGATTCTCTTTCTCCCCGAGGAGGTTGGTAAACATGTTTAATTTATTATTCAATTGTAATCAATAGTCTTAACAATTTTCATACTTAAATAGTTTCATGTTGTTTAAATCCTGGTGAAAAATGTTCTCAGTAAAGTTGAGGCTACTACTTATTGAGCACTTGTGGTTTTAGATGCTGTCAACAAAATTTTGACTCATAATGACCCCATATAACAGAGTAGAACTGACTCAGCGTTTACAATGCTGTAGTCTTTACAGGAGCAAATTGCCACATATTTCTCCCACAGAACCTCTAGGTGGGTTCAAATCACTAACCTTTTGGCTAGCAGCCAAGCGCTTAACTGTTGTGCCATGAGGGCTCCTTATTGAGAACCTACCGGACCTAAGTTTTAAATTTTGGTAAGGAGTTATAGAAGACAGCTACTCATTCTTTACTTATTCATTGTAACAAAAAACTATTGGGTATTTTTATTTTCAGACTGATTAATCATTATTGGTTACCTCTGATTGTTAAAATTCTCTTCTTGTGCAGTAGTTTTTATTTTGTCCAATTTTATAAATCTTAAAGAACTAGCTTTTGGTTTCATTGATTTTCTGTGTATTTTTTTGTTTTATATTTCAACTCTTTTTTATTTCAATTAAGTATAGATGTATGGGATTATTTCTGGACTCTCATTCAGTCCATTGGTATATACATCTGCCTGTATGCCAGAACCACACTGTTTTGATTGCTATAGCTTTGTAGTAAGTTTTGAATTTAGGAAGTGTGGGTCCTCCTACTTGGTTCTTCTTTTTGAAGACATTCCAACTATTTAGGATCCTTATAATTCCCTATGAATTTTAGTTTCATCAGTTTCTCCATTTCTGTAAAATGTACCCTTGAATTTGTAGATGAATATAGGGAATATTATCATCTTAACAATATTAAGTACTTTCCTCTGTGAACATAAGGCATCTTTCCCTTTATTTAGGTCTTGTTTGATTTTTTTTTTTTTTTTCCATCACTGCTTTGTAGTTTTCAGTGCTCAAGTCTTGAACCTCCTTGGTTAAATTAATTCTTCAGTATTTTATTCATTCTGATGCTGTTGTAGATGGAATTGTTTTCTTAATTTCCTTTGCAGGTAGTTCATTGCAAATATATAGAAATACAACAGAATTTTTGTGTGTGTGTTGATGTATCCTTCAGCTTCATTGAATTCATTTATTTAAGAGATTTTTTTTTTGCAGGGGATTCTTTAGGATTTTCTGTATGTAAGATCATGTCATCTGTGAGTACAGATTGTTTTGCTTTGACCTTTATAATTTGGATGCCTTATTTCTTTTTCTTGCATAATTGATATGGCCAGAACTTCAAATACAATTTTGAATAGAAGTTGTGAAAATGGGCATCCTTATTTCTGATTTTAGGGGAAAAGTGTTCAGCCTTTCACCATAGAGTATGATGTTAACCAAAACCAACCTCACTATCATCAAGTTGATTTGACTCATAGCGACCCCTCCTTGGGTTTCCAAGGCAGTATCCCTATGGAAGTAGATTGCCCAGTCTTCCTGAGGAGTGGCTGGTGGGTTTGAACCACCAGCTATCTCGTTAGCAGTCAGATGTCTTAGATACTATGCCACCAGAGCTTGGAAAAAAAGTGCCTAAAGCATTTTGACTGCTAACCAGAAAGTTGGCAGTTCAAACCCACCAGCCACTCCGTGGAAGAAGATGGGGCAATCTACCCCCGTAAAGATATACTGCCTCACAAAACCAGTGGGGGGTCATTATGAGTTGGAATCAACTTGATGGCAGTGAGGTTTTTTTTTTTCTGTAGTTAACTTTATTGGTGTTCTTTATTTCTTTGTTTGGTTTTAAGTTACTGTCTTATGTCCTTCATTTAAACCTGAAGGACTCCCTTTAAGATTTCTTGTAGGTCAATTCTATTAATAATGAACATTCTCAGCTTTGATTTATCTTAAATGTTTTAATTTCATCTTCATTAATGAGAGATAGTTTGGCCGGTTGTAGAATTCTTGGTTTGCATATTTTTTCTTTCAGTGTTTTAAAGGTCATTTCACTGCCTTTGGGCCTCCATGATTTTGATGAGATATTGGGGATCCCTTATAAGATATTGGGGATCCCTTGTACATGATGAGTTGCTTTCCTTTTGATGCTTTCAAGATTCTCTCTTTTTCTTTGACTTTCAACAGTTTGATTATAATATGTCATACAAACAGTCTTGGTGTGGATTTTTTTCAGTTTATCCTAGTTGGAGTTTGCAGATTGACTTGGATGTGGAGGGAAATGTCTTTCACCAGACTTGGGAAGTTTTCAGTGATTGTTTCTTGAGATAGTCTTTCTGCCTATTTCTCTCCTCTCCTTCTGAGGTTCTAATTGTGCCTATGTTGGTGTGCTTTATGCCATCACATGGGTCTCTTAGACTTTGTTTATTTTACTCAGTTGTTTTTCTTTCTGCTCCTCAGACTCTTGTTGTTGTTCTTAGGTGCCATTGAGTTGGCTCCTCATCATAGTGACCCTGTGTACACCAGAACGAAACATTGTCCAGGCCTGTGCCATCCTCATATTCTTGGTATACTTGAGCCTGTTGTTGCAGCTTCTGTGTCAATCCATCTCATTGAAGGTCTTTTCTTTTACTGACCCTCTACTTTACCAAGCATGATATCCTTCTCCAGTAACTAGTCCCTTCTGACAACATAATCAAAGTGGGTGAGATGAAGTCTGGCCATTTTCACATCTAAGAAGCATTCTTGCTGCACTTCTTCCAGAACAGATTTATTTGTTCTTCTGGCATTAAATGGTGTGTTAAGTATTCCTCTTCAGCATCACAATTCAAAAGAAGCAGTTCTTCTTTGGCCTTCCTTATGCATTGTCCAGCTTTCACATAGCTTTGAGGCGTTTAAAAATACTATGGCTTGGGTTGTTCTTGTTAGGTGCCATCGAGTTGTGTCCGACTCATAGAGACCTCATGTACAGCAGAACGAAACACTGCCTGGTCCAGTACCAGCCCTATGATCCTTGCTGTACCTGAGCCCACCATTGCAGCCACTGTGTCAGTTTGTCTTGTTGAGGGCCTTCCCCTTTTTCATTGTCCCTCCACTTTGCCAAGCATGATATCTCTCTGCAGGGAATGCTCCCTTCTTACAACATGACCAAAGTAGGTGAGACGAAGTCTGGCCATTCTCACTTCCAAGGAGCATTCCAGCTGCACTTCTTCCAGGATAGATTTGTTAGTTCTTTCAGCAGTCTAAAGTACTTTCAGCATTCTTCTCCAACACCACAGCTCAGATTTCTTCTTTGGTCTTCCTTTTTCATTGTCCAGCTCTCACATACATATGAGGTGATTGAAAATACCATGGCTTGTGTCAAGTGCACCTTAGTCTTCAAGGAAACATCTTTGCTCTTCAACACTTGGAAGAGGTCCTTTGTAGCAGATTTGCCCAATGCTATATGATGTCTGATATCTTGACTGCTGCTTCCATTGGTGTTGACCGTAGAGCCAAGTAATGACAAGTCTTTGACAACTTGAATCTTTTCTCCATTTATCATGCTGCTGCTTATTGGTCCATTTGTGAGGATTTTTGTTTTCTTTATATTGAGGTACAATCCATATTGCAGACTTCAATCTTCAGTCTTCATCAGTAAGTGTTTCGAGTCATCCTCACTTTGAGCAAGCAAAGTTGTGTCATCTGCATAATGTAGGTTGTTGATTTTTCCTCCAATCCTGATGCCACATTCTTCTTCATATAGTTCAGCTTCTTGGATTATTTATTCAGCATACAGATTGAATAAGTATGGTGAAAGGATACAGTCCTGATGCACTCCCTTCTTGATTTTAAACCATGCAGTGTCCCCTTGTTCGCTTCGAACGACAGCCTCCAGGTCTATGGACAAGTTCCTCATGAGCACAATTAAGTGTTCTGGAATTCCCATTCTTCTCAGTGTTATCCATAATTTGTTATGATCCACACAATCAAATGCTTTTGTATAGTCAATAACACAAGTAAACATCTTTCTGGTATTCTTTGCTCACATCCAAGATTCATCTGACATCAGCAGTGATATCCCTCGTTGCACTTCCTCTTCTGAATCCAGCTTGCATTTCTATAAGTTCTGTCAATATACTTCTGCAGCCATTTTTGAATTGTCTTCAGTAAGATTTTACTTGCATGTAATACTAATGATATTGTTCGATAATTTCCATATTCTGTGAGATCATCTTTCTTTGGAGTGGGTACAAATATGGATCTTTTCCAGTCAGTTGGCCTGGTAGTTGTCTTCCAAATCTCCTGGCATAGCTGAATGAGTGCCTCTAGTATGGCTTCCATTTGTTGAAACATCTCAATGGGTGTCCCATCAATTTCTGGAGCCTTGTTTTTCACCACTTCCCTCAGTGCAGCTTTGATTTCTTCCTTCAGTACCATTGGTTCTTGGTCATATGCCACCTCCTGAAATGGATGATCATCTACCAATTCTTTTTGGTACAGTGACTCTGTGTATTCCTTCCATTTTCTTTTGATGTCTCCTGCGTCATTCAGTATATTGCCATAGTGCCAAAGGGTCAAGGAAGCCACATCTTCTGACCTCCTCTAACCGCGCAAGAAGAAGACAGAATCACCATCAGTAGCCCAAGGCCTATTCCTGCGAGGCCAGACATGCTGCCTCCCTCCAGCCCTCACATGCATATGAGGGGATTGAAAATATGGCTTGTGTCAGGTGCACCTTAGTCCTTAAGGAGACATCTTTGCTCTTCAGCACTTGAAAGTTATCTTTTGCAGCTGATTTTCCCAGTTCCGTACATCATCTGATGGTCCTGACTGCTGTTTCCATTGGCATCAATTGTAGAACCAAGTAATGTGAAGTCTTTGACAACTTCAATCTTTTCTCCATTTATCGTGATGCTGCTTATAGGTCCAGTTGTGAGGATTTTTTTTTTCTTTATAATGAGTTGTAGTCCATACTGCAGACTGTACTTTTTAATTTTCATCAGTATGTGCTTCAAATCATCTTCACTCTCAGAAAGCAA